AGAACGGATGAGTGAGTGATGGTCAGATTCAAACTAGGGTCACTAGTTGGTACCATTTTCCTTTTCCAAGGTTGTGAATCCTTTGAATAAGGGGTCTGCCACGCTTCAGGGTCGGAGCAGATGATTGGCTAGCCACCAATGTAATTTGCTGTGTGGAAGGTGCAGCCTCCCCACCTTCGGGAATGGTACAGCCTTCCTAGGCGAGTTGTGGATGTACGCGGGGTACATCTATCCTTGCAGATGCGTTTGCAGCGGGTATATGTCATATTGTCACCTTTGCTAGACCATTAAAAGCATCTGGCATGCTTTAAGCAATGCTTTGAAGATCTATAATTCAGCGCACCTCAGTTTCAAACTGAGCAGTGCGAAGATCTAAATGAGACATAGTGGGAGCATACCACGATAATTCGCGGCGTTCTACAGGAACGTTAGCATGCTTATCTCCCATTAATGATAGGAAGACTGTCTCATCAAAGTGACAATCTGCCAAACATGAGGTAAAGAAATCTCCTGTCAAGGGTTCTAAATAGTGAATAATTGATGGTGAATCATAATCGACATAGATTCCTATTTTCTTTGAGGACCCATTTTGGTACGTAGTGGCGGCGCTATTGGCACATAAATGGTGTACCCAAACACCCATAAATGCGAGACTTCAGGCTTGTATCCAGTGACCAACTGTAACGGTGAATGTGGTTGAGTAGCGGTAGGCCTTAGGTGGACCAACATAGCTACGTACAATATTGCATAGCCCCATGCAAATACGAGCAGTTTGGTTCTCATGACCAAAGTCCGAGTTATCAATTGAAGGAGCTTTATGAAAGCTTCTGCCATGCCGTTTTTGGTGTGAAAATGGGGTACAAGATGTTCCATATCAATCCCTACTGACATGTAATAATCTTCAAAAGTCTGTGATGTAAACTCTTCAGTGCTATCCAGTCGAATCAACTTAATCGGATAATCAGGGTGGTGAGCTCGAAGCTTAATTATTTGAGCTAGGAGTTTAGCAAACGTAGTGCTGCGTTTGGACAGCAGGCAAACATGTGACCATTGTATCGATGCATCAGCCAACACCATAAAGTATCTAAATGATCTGCATGTTGGTTGGATAAGTCCATAAATGTCCCCTTGAATCCTCTGAAGAAACTTAGGGGGGTTGTGAATAATTTTTGTATGTGAAGGTTAAGTATTCAACTTCCCTAAAGAACACGCTTTGCATGGTGATAGTTTAACATAAGGAGGTAACCGATGCCTATGTGATGATTTGAGGATACGGCACATTATATCACGTCTAGGATGTCCCAAACAATCATACCAAAGCAGCAAAGTGTCTTAGAACTCAGGCATAAGGCTGGCCACACTGTGGGCTTTTATGCCACGAATGGTTGTGATGTACAACGCACTCGGGAGACGTTCCAACTTCTTATGAATATGCTTTTGGCCATATTCGTACGAAGTGATACAAAGAAATTTAGAACCATTATCTTCAGTGGTTTGAATATAATATTAATTATCTCGAATATCTCTAAAACTCAGCAACGTTATTTTGAAATGTGGAGAATAGAGTGTCTCTGTAATGGTTAAGATTGTACCATTGGACAACATGATAAAGGCCTTTCCATATCTTTCAATCAGGTTGAATGGGCTTGAAAGAGTTGTCAGATGAGCTTTCTTGGGTATCAAGTTAGTAAAATAGTGTTATTCACGCAAGATGGTGTGCGTGGTTGCATTATTTGCCAGACAACTAACTTCCCCACTAGACATACCTACAAATAAATTGATTGAATTGATCACATGCATAAATATAAGTCCATTCATTCAATTAAGCAATTCGAGAAATAATATCCATTCAAATAACAATCCATAATTCAAAACAAACCAAAACCAAATAAATTATTCCAAAGACTTAGAAAAATTGTTCAAAATTAAACCATAAACCTAGAAAATAAGGGGGAAGGGCCGCCACTCCTAATGGGTTCGGCCACTAGGTGTAAATGCCCTAAAAACATGTCTAATTTATTCATTCATAAGAGCTGATGCCTCCTGAAAATCCGATATCTCCATTAATGTAGTTACATTTTCCGGATGATCCACATGTGCAAAGTTAGACTCACGACAAGAATGATACTTGGCAATAGCCTCAGGAAAAGCTCAGCACACGCGTGACCAATAATCCCTTGATCCACAATGGTATCATATGTCCAGTTCAGATGAAGCAGGCTGAATGAGAGCTTTGCCCTTGTTCTTGAAGTTTGGGGCCTTAGGAGTGAGTGGTGGACGATGCTGGGTCACATTTCCTCCCTTAGGTGTGGCACTTTGTTGACCTTGGGCCCGTGGTTGGGCTTGCCGCTCATTGCCACGACCACGACGGTTTTTTCGTCGTTTGTGGCTGCTAGAATTGGTCTCATATGCTTTAGGCGCGGCGTTTGAGCCAGTTGATCAAGCTTGATAATTCTTCATCAAAAAATGGTTCTGCTTTTCAGCGAGAAGTAGTACAGAGATCAAATCCGAAAACTTGGTGAATTTATGTGCCCTATATTGTTGCTGCAGGACAATATTGGTGGCATGAAAGGTCGAATAGGTCTTCTCCAGGAGATCTGATTCGGTTAGTTCCACTTTACAGAATTTCAGTAGTGAACAGATTCTACAAACTTCAGAGTTGTACTCATTCACGAACTTAAAGTCTCGGAAGCGAATATGCTGCCAATCATGTCTTGCTTCAGACAAGTATATGTCTTTTTGGTGATCGAAACGGTTGGCCAGAGCAAGCCAGAGGGTGCGTGGGTCCTCATGAGCGAGTTACTCGGTTTGTAGTGCATCGAGGATATGTCTTTAAAAAAAGATCATTGCAGTAGCTTTCTGAGCTTCGTCGATAGGTGCCTCGAGGATGGCTTTGATGCCCTTTGCAATCAGATGGAGCTTCACGTCTTGAACCCACTTCAGATAGTTTCTTTCGGAGATTTCTACAGTGGAGAAATAGAGATTGTTCAAGTTCGACATGTCTCTAAAACGGAGGGAAAAAAACGTGATTAGTCATATGGTAATCCATAGACATATATCGTAGAACATGCAAGTTCTATAGACATGTATTGGTTTAATTTATGCATGAAAACTACAGGTTTTAGGTGGAATGTTTTGAATGAAAACTTCAGGTTTCAAAGGCACTAAATATGAAACTATAGGTTCAATTTAGTTTTTATGAACAATTAGTTCATAAGGAGAGGTTCTTGCAAGAAACACATAACGCAATATACTAATTTAAATATAGTGGGTTTGAGTTTCTTCGGGAACTCAAGTGTGAGAGCTTCGTTACTACGAAAGTATGTTAATGGTTCAAAGTATGAAAATAAATTATTGAATCGTTAATGTCCAAAAGTGATCTTCAAGTCAATAATTTTGGATTTATTATCAGATTAAGGGATTGCAGATCACCTTTAGTTAATTCAATAGATCGGAACCAAACATGGTTGATCGTGGAAGCAAAATAATGCTAAAATAGTAGCGTTGGGTCGAAAATACCATAGCCCAAAAATTGGGTTAGGTGCCATGAGCAAAGGGGCTCGGGTGTGGCTGCAATAGCAGCCCACGGGTTGAGTGACAGAAGCCCAGCATCATGCTGGCGGGCCGAGGGGAGCAGAGTTAGGCCCAACAAATTGCTGGCCTTGGGTTCGCATAGGGAGCCCAGTTGAGATTGGGTTCAGATCGGGGCAGGCTTCAACCCAGTAAACTGGGCTGCGGAAAGCAGGCCGGGGTGACATGGCATAAGCCTAATGGGCTAAAGACGCACGGGACATTAGGCCTAAGGCTGTAGGCTTTTGGTTTGGGTGAATGGACTATAGGTCCATCAGTCAGATTAGGCCTTAAGGCCTTGGGATGTCTGGGTCAGTGCAGCAAATCCAAAAGGTGCTGCCGTGTGATCCACTCGACTGGACTTCAGGCCAGTGTTGGTCCATGGTGCCACGATGGGGTGCTGCGGTGGTGGTGCTGCATAGTGCCCGCTGCATATATATTTTCGACATGGTTAGGGATTTACATACCCTAGATTTGCTTCTAATTTATAAATATACTTTGACTCACAATTCCCCATAGTAATTTAATTGCGTAATGCATGAAACAAAGATATATATTGACAAATTTATGAACATATATCGTAAGGAAAATATAAACATAAAAGGGTTCATGCATCATGAGGAATGTTTTCATCCTTCGTGGACGTTTCAAATATCTTCTTTTATTTTAAGCGTACTTGATTGACAGAAAACAAAGAGAAACCTTTGAATTTTGTGGAAGATAACATCCTTCTACGATGCGTCAATTCCTCAGCTTCTGGCAAGAAAGTGCTGATAACATATTGTAGACCTATTTGATTGAGCTATCTAAGGGTTTAGAGAGAGAGAGAGAGGGGGCTGACAATATTAAGGGAGAAGAGAGAATGATTTAATTGTGGTGCGTTTGAGTCATCCCATTGTGCCTTTATTTATAGTAGTAGGGTAGACAAAAACCTTTCCCTTTAGGATTACAACTCTTAATAGGTAATCAACTCTTAATATGAATATAAGATACATTCCCATATCTACTAGGATTTACACAATCACATTCCTATTCTAAATATGACTGCAACAATCACCAATTTTATTTGAAAATTAGAAAATGATTTTGTTATTCGTATTGTATCAATTTTACTATATTTGCAAAGATAAATTTCTATTTTCCAATATTTATTAAAAATTAGAAAGGAAAATTATTCTAAACCCTCCCCAAATACCAAACCAAACCCAAAAGAACAAAAATTGAGAGCAAGCCTAAACCTAGACTTCTACCTTTGCAACAATTTAATAATCCAACTTTGGATCTCTCCTGAAATTGGGAGTCTCAAATCTCAAACCCTCCCCAAATACCAAACCAAACCCAAAAGAACAAAAATTCAAAGACAATGTTCCTCTTGTTCCTCCCACACAACAACAACTAACAAAAATCTCAGACAGGCAGTTTTGGTGGTTTTGTTTGTTGGGGGTCCATCATCATCATCATCATCTTCTTCTTCTCGCTCCTCTTCTAATGGTAGTTGTCCAAGCTTCCAAGCTCAGCCTCCCAAACCCTTCTCTCTCCTCCCCTCCCCAAATAACTTCCCTCCAGTTTGAACCCCATTCCCTCTCTCTAGCCCTCATGCACTCTGACTCCACTTTTTCTCTCTACCCCTCTCTCTCCTCCCCTCTTTCCCTCTCCTCTCTCCCTCCTCCTCAAACCCTAATTGCCCCTCCCTCCTCTTCCTCCACCTTCCTCCTCCTCCAAAACCCAGACCCTAACCCCAACACCCGGACCCTCTTCATTGTCTGCGGCCCTCACAGAGGTGGGTCCCAGGTCCTGCTCAGGTTCTACATTCTGCAGAATCAGAAACAATTCGTGAGGGCTCAAGTCGTTTGCACCCAGAAAGGGCTAAAATTTGATGGGAAATTGGGGGTTTTGGTTGATGCCCATCATGGGGTTTCGCTTAAGCTTGCCGGGTCGGTCAATTTCTTCGCCATGTACTCCGTTTCGAGCTCAAAGATATCAGTTTTTGCTGTGAAAGCGATTGGTGATGGCGACAATGGTGATGATGGGGTGGTTGTGAAGTTGATGAGGTGTGCTGTGATTGAGTGTTGCAAGCTGGTTTGGTCGATTAGCATTTCGTTTGGGGTCTTGATCTTAGGAGAAGATAATGGAGTTAGGGTTTTTAATTTGAGGCAGCTTGTTAAAGGGCGGGTTCGAAAGGCCAAGACTTTGAGTTCGAGTTTGAAAAATGAGGGCCGAAATTTGGGTTTTCCTAATGGGGTGGTTGGTGATCATGTGCATAGTGATTTGGGGGATTGTGGAAATAAGCAGGAGGCGACAAATGTGGTAGCGTTGAGGGGAGTTCGGAGATGACTTGCAGTGGTAACTTGTGTGGGAAGAATGATAGGAATTATGTTTCTGGTAAGTATGCAAATTCTGCGTTTTGGTATTACTTTTTGCTGATCTTATCTTACCTGTATGTAGAAAATGCAATGCACAAACGTTCTTTTGTACTTTCGATTACGTGTCCATTGCTTGCCCCTTGTTGAGTTAGTACTTAATAGAGTTCGATAATAGAACTCTTTTGCAATGTGAAAGATTTATGTACTGTTCATCTAAGTAATCGAGAACTTAAGAAATCCTATTGGAATTCTGATAACCACTCTAGCGATACAATCAATAAGGAAAGCGAACGCACTGCGACTGCATTTTGTCCTAAAGCCTCTGTTTTTCTAAGTTAATGGTAGGCTTATTAGAGTTAATTTGTGTATCTTAGGTTGTGTCTTGAAAATTCGAGCAATCCTCATTACCTGTTATGGGATTTGTGCAAGAACTGGTAACTCATAAATGAATAGGTGCGGTAGAGGATTATAAAGGTCAAAAGTATTCAGTGTAGTTTTTTCTTGGAAGTTTCAAGGATTGCATGTAAGATTTATTGTTTTCATATGATGGAAAAGACTAAGCTTTGATGGCTGGGAAGTTGTTGAAATCCATGTTGGTGCTAACACTTTAGGGGTGTAAGGGTCAAGGTTTGATGGGGGAAGTAATTCAGGTTAAGAGCAGGGTTTTTTATTTGAAAACTAAAGAAAGAAAGAAATGTGGTTAGCGTTCCTTCAGTCCTTGACTTTCAATCATGAATTAAATTAAGTTCGTGATGTTGAAAAATCATATGCATATCCTTAATGCATTAGATTGACTATCTGGATGTACTGTAAAATAGCTAGCCACTAAGATGAGGTTGGATCCTCTAGTAAATCAGTGTACTTTTTATGCAGCATGTAAGTAAAAAAGATATTGCCATCATTTGATCAAGTGAATGAATAATGTGGTTTTCAATTTATACACAATTCATGCAATCTGAAAGATCATGATTGGGATTAAAATGACCTACCATGAGTGCCTATAAAAACAGTCCTGTATTACTTCGTTGAAATCTTGGTATCCGGCTTTTTTGGTGTTCTTGCTACCATTAAAGCGTCATGATCACTTTGTCTTAAGCCAATATAATCTACCCATGGATCTTTATATCCATCCGATAACTTATTGATCCTTATGAGAAATTCGTGTTACAATGGATGTACACAAACTCTTTCTCACAATGACTGGTCTATCACCAGCACGTGACGGATTAAATACAAGATCTTTTCCATTATATGTTGTAACTTTAGCTGTAACATGTTACTTCTCAACAAAAAAAAAAAAAAAAAAAAAAAAAAAAAAAAAACATATCTATTCATGTTACATTAGTTAGGCCTGTTTCTAAGCCTGCAATACTTGTATCTTATCTATGCGTTTATCTGTATTTCCACTGACAAATTGTTTTTTAGGTATTTCTTGTGGCCTAGGACATGGGTGCTACTCATGTAAGCAGGGTGCTGTCCTTTGGTTAAAATCATAAGGATGCCTCTAGATGGTAAATTACTGATTAGAAAAATAACTTAACTTTCTTATCATGGAATTGAAATCTCTAGCTCATAGACAGATTGCTAACCTCGATCCCCTCGGAAATTGTCCCCCTTAGGGCATGCAGCATATATAGTTCTGTAGTATGTTCACCGGATAACAACACCTGTCCATTTTAGATGGAAGTGACTTCCATTGATTCTTGGTTTTAGATCCACATGGACTTGTGTTACCATTGGCCAATTGACTAGTGCCTCTAACGCTGTGTTTAACCTTGCAGTCAAGCAGAGGTCTGTGAAACTGAAACAAGACTCTTGTGAAGAGGGAGTGTTTTTTGTGGAATTCAAAGGAAAGGAGTTTGAAACCTCAAAATCGAAAAGAGTGATACCAGCTAAGGCACTTTCTACTGAAGCACTGTCCCCCAACAAATTTCTAATCTTGGATTCTGATGGAGGTTTACACATTTTGCACCTCTCTAGTCCTATAATTGGATTAGAAATAACTTCTTGTGTGCAGCAGTTGCCTCACATTATGAAAGTGCAAAAGCTGGCTGTTCTTCCCGATATAGATTCAAGTATGCTTCTCCAATCCATTGCATTTTAAAGATTTTGTACATGCTTACATTTTGGAACGCCGAAGGTCTTTTGGGTATGCAATATGGGAACAATAGAAATTGATGATCTTAATGTCATTGTAGTTCATCTACACTAGACGTAGGTTCAACCGTGAGGTTACTCTTCAATATATCATTGCCCTTTGAAACTTGGAAAACATGTCATGATTTTGCAGGAACTCAATCTGTGTGGGCATCAGATGGATACAATTCTGTGCAGATGTTGTTGGCATCTCACGTGGATATTGCGGAAAATGAGAAAAATAACAGCGAGGAAAAACTGATTCATGTCTCAGGTATTCATTGTCCCATAATTTAACCCTTTAATTTTGAAATCATGTCGTATCTTTCTTTGTAATGTCGAATAAGTTTTCATGACATTGAAAGTCAGGGTCATATGCCCTTTTGTGATTTTAATTTCCAGTATTTCACACTTAATTCTTTTTTCTGTGCTAGTTCTTCTCACGGTTTTTGCCAGCGAAAGAATTCAAGATCTTATTCCTATGGCTGCAAATGCTATTTTGATTCTTGGACAAGGTATGCGTTTGTTTTTCTCCTTGTACTTTAGAAATTATTTTGTATGCAATAAGTGTTGGTGGATTTCAAATATAGATAAAAGGGTAATTGCTATTTGCCGTAAATTGCATTACTTGTTACCTCTAAAAGTTTACTTAAGCAGGAAGCTTGTATACGTATGCGATTTCTTGAAGTTGCATAGTTACAACCGCCTTTTCTATTGGTGAGCAGCTCGTCTTGAATCTATTCACTCAAAATATTTTTTTCTTCTTGATCTAAGCTGGTTTCTTTGCAGGACTTCTGAATTCCCGGCCTAGAGGAGCTCAGCCAGTTTGATTGAGATCCTGGGGTAATGTTCTATTTAAACAACTCAGTGTCAGGACTCGGAAACAAGTTGCCATGTCTAACTATAACTCATTTTGATTTTTTAGGTGTCCTTGGATCTTTGATTTCCATGGTCCTTGCGTTGTTTATGTTACCAAAGTCTGGAGCTGCAGTTTTCCCCTTTACTCTAAAGTGATAGAGACTTAAGAGAGTGCTGAGCAGTTGAAGGTATGCATGGTCATTTGAATTTTTGCGAGAAGTTAATTTAGACTATGGGCGTGGATTTTAATGATAGCATGCATTTATTTGCTATATGGTAGTAGAGATACCGATAACAAGGATTCGAAGAAGGATGTGGATTGGTATGATTTGAATCTAGTATTGATTTCTTAATGTTTGTTGTCACTGTGCGGTTTGCCTCACTGTCACCGAATGTGCGCATGATACAGTTGAGATCATTCAATCTCATCAAATCTTTTTGCCCTCCTTTTAGGTGGTATGGGGTCGGGACCAGTTGGGTGCCTGCCCTTGCTTTCCAAATTCTAAAGGTTGATTATTTCAGCAACTGAAAGCTACGTCCGTTGTTCAACCAACTCCATGAGCTACAACTTAAGGCATATGTGAACGTATTTGCTGGTGGTTCCTCTGTGTTACCTCAGGTTGTCTACTGGAGAAGTGAACCTGCATTCGACTCAAGGTAAAAAACGCCATCAGAAGTCTTGCAAATATATTGACTGGTATGGATGAAACCGGTACTCTTGAGACTTTCAGTTCTTAAATTTTAACGAGGCGTGTAATTAAACTTTCTGGTCGACACATTAACCGGGCAAGCGCCCCTCGGTTAATTCTCGTATAACTTTATGCGTGTGATTCCATCTGGTGCCGTGTTCGGTATTAATGGGTACTAATGGAAATGAAAATATAGGTTCATGGAACTCTTTTGCCTTCATTATATTTGCAATCCCGATTGAGCATCTGCTGAGATTTGAAGATCTTGCTTTAGATGAAGGGGTTGCCCTCAAAGAAACTTGTGTGAATATTGACAGTGTGTGCAATTCTGATTACCGAGCCCGAACTTGCATGCAATCGGGACGAATGGACGATAATATCGGATCAGATATTTTCTCGTCTCTTTGATAGACTTGGGATATTATAATTCCGACGTCTCAGTTGTATGTAAGTTTTTCCGAAGAACCATATCAATAATACTTTAGCCGAAAAAAAATATAACAAGGGAGAACAATATCCGCACAGATTTCTGCTCTGCTCCTCCGTGAGAAGTGAACACTTTGGAAATTAAATGAAGGTGGGGATGGGTGGGATTTGGATCCTCTCCAGATCCCCTCGTTGGGAATTCTTAGGATTTATGCATGAGGATCGTTCACCAAAGATTGTGCAGTTATAATTAAATATTTTTTATATTTTTAAAAGTAAATCAGCTTTATTTTGCGTAAAAAACATTTAATTGTGGTCGCACGATCTTGGATGAACGGTCTTTGTGCATTAATCTCCGGATCCCCAGTGAGGGGATTTGGAGAGATCCAAATCCGGATGGGTGGACCCTACCTGACCCTTGATTGGTTGAAACCTAGCCTACAGATCAGACAAAACTGACGATTACGATGATGAGGTTTCAGATGGGGGCGGGGCCTCCTGATCCCCATAATTGGAGGACCGCATGATGGTGAACAATCACATGACATGGAAATGCACTACCACACACGTAAACTTTCACTCTCTCTCTCTCTCTCCGTGTCTAAAACACACACACGGAGTCTCTCTTGCTCTCCAGTTCTTGCTATCCACTCTTTTTTCTTCTCCATCCAGATCCAGGTCCAGCCCAGACCGAAAGCAACCCCACATTGGTATCTGCTTTTCGTGATCAACTTGTTTGCTGTTTTACAAACCCATTCCCCCAAAAGTGAAAAAAACCACAGGTAATATCACCATTTGGTTTCTGATCAGAATTTTTATGCACTCTCGTTGGATTAGAGGGAAAGGGGTCCTCCCGGATCTCTTTCACCAAAACTACTAATTCAGATCCTTGAAATTTGATCCAGCAGCTAAAGTTATTATAACTTTTAAAGGGAATCCTCATTTTTAACCGTTTGATCAAATTTCAAGAGTTCGGATTGGTGGATTTGGTAGAAATGATACAGAGGGGAACCCTTTCCGGATTAGAGAGGTCTAAGGAGGGAATAAATGGTCCGAATTTTAAAATTTTAAATAATGTTCATCTAAATAACATTCGGACGGTGCTGTTATACTCACACACCTGTCATATTTTCCACAGTCACTTTATAATGAAAATAGAACAAATATATGGATATAGTAGATATCTGAAAATTTTTCAATACTTCCTAACATTGAATGATACAAAAAATGAATAGTTGAAATTGAAGATAAAAAATTTAAACAGCTATGAAAATCACATATAACGGCTAAAACTTCTGTAACATTGGAGGTGATACGCAACTCTCATTCAAACTACCATCTCTTAAGTTTTTACAGAAAAAAAGATATTTACACCAAATATTTTAATCGGAAATTTTTATATTTTTGGACCGCTGCACTGGTATTTCAGTTGGAGTTCATATGTCCACATTCTTAGTAGTAGCACTAGATATATTCTGCTTGATCATATTTTTCTAAGTTATAGAAATTCTCGATAGTGTCAATAATATGATTGATGTATGTACGCATTATTAATAACATATCAATAACTTATTCTTTGTTTATTTATTTTTTAAATCTAATTTCATAGCCGGGTTACTTCAAACTCTGCTCCCTCTTTGCATCAAAATGCTGCTGATGCTCATCCCCACCCTTATCATATTTGTGGACTTTGAGTCTACAGCGGTCGGTCGGGTAGATCAAATGTCATTTGTAACCCTTTCTATGATCTATTCAGAAAGACGCAGGTTTAGTTCGGGTACGAAGCTCCAACCCCATCTTCTGCAAATCTCTTGGGTATCGTTTGGTATGCAGACGGGATGGGATGGAACGGAATGGGACGGAACGGGATGGGATAGGACGGAACGGAACGGAGCGGGAGCAAAGATGCCCTCAGATGGAAACAAGGAGGAAGAAGAAGGAGACGGAGATGTTATAATTTTGTGTTCCACGGATGTGGAACGAGTCGTTCCAGGGGGTGAGGTGGAACGAAAATTCACCCTAAAACTCGTCCCGTGAAACAGCTCGTTCCACCCGTTTTAGGCGCACCAAACGTGGGACGGAACGTCTTGTCCCACTCTGTTCCGTCCCGTCCCACGTACCAAACGGTACCTTGCTGCGGCTTGTTCTTCGCCTCCTCCTTGGTTGCTGATGGCGGCATCGGCAGTTCTTGCGTTAGGAGTAGTTAGGGTTTCCAGCGTTATTCTTTTGTTTTGAGCATAAATCCTTGCTTCGAGTCCCGTATTTTGTTTCTTGACTGGTCCATATCTTCAACTTGTGCATAACTTTGTATTTGAACCTTTTACGTACGTTTGTTTATGATAATGAAATATCATTTCCATCAAAAAGTACAAGGTTTCGTAAACGTAGGCAATGTCCTAACTTGAGTTGCATCAACTAGGTAATCACGGCACCCCCATAAAACCAATGCTACCCCTAATGTTCACCTGATTACAAAGTTTTCTTGACACTTGTCTGTCAAGAAAATTGAACACATTTTCACACAAGTAATCAAATTACATCTCCCTGACTTCACTCCCAGCAGTTGCCAGTTTCCCCAGTCGGGGAAAATGTTGGTGCACTAAATAATGCACTCACATAATTCAAATGCTAAATTTGGTTGGACTATTTGATACCAAAAAAATTCAACACCATCGTACTATGTACATTTGCTAGTCTTTTCATAAAGCAAAACCACAACAAATATTGCTACCCTATGACCCCACGATCCAGTGGTTGTATATCAAATTTCAGATTCTTTAGATCAATTATATTATCAGTTTTCAGACCTACACCTCTCAAATCTTGGCTCTCCACATAAAATCAAGAAGTAAATGATTTTATACACTATTTTTAACTTTTTACACATCCAATGCTTGTTTTTGTTCATTGATTTTCTTTGATTTATTCAGTCTAACGGGGAGAAATCGATTAGGGGGGGTGTATGAGGAGAATAAGGGTGTTCGTAAATCACTTCCTATAATGAATTTTGTGATCTTTCAACCTTTTGTAATTCGTTAAAAAAAAAAAAAAAAAAAAAAAGGAGAAAAAGAAAAGTATTGGAAAACTATAGTCCTTATATGAAAGATTCTCTATTATTGATGTTTCAAAAGTAGATACAAGTTATCGATACATTTCAGTGCGCGTCTATTCTTTACTAAAGAACGCCCTAAAGAATTTCCCCTTGATTCAAGTATGTGAAAATCATATACTGTAGTTATAAACTCTGTAATTTTGAAGAGGTTAAAATATAATATTTAGTTCCAAAATTTATACTGCAGTCTGCAGCTTTTCCCTTCTCTCTTTCCTTTTTCGATCGAGCTTTCCCTTCTCTATTGGAAGGAGAAAGCGAATGAATTTTTACTCTTTATGTGTGCGTGTCAGTTTGTGTGTCATTGGAAGCCAAAGCGGCAATGCACATTTCATATGCCATTGTCTTTTATTCGAGCGATATTATAATTTAACTGAAAGTACAATAGTGTGATTTGAATTAGAGTATTTAGAGTCACATTACTTTAGCCAACTTGTCTACTTCCAAGCATGTCGTATACTGCCATGTTTAGCTGGACGCACATATAGCAACTCAATTTTAACTACATTTCGCAGAAACAGAAGCGCATTTTACAGATTTTGAAAGTTGCTCTGCCTGTTTTCATGCTTGCTTACTAATTCTAAAACTCAAACCCTCCAAAAAAAACATCCAAATTAAGAAGGAAGAAGGAAAAGCTCATTCCATATGATCTCCACCATGGAAGACTCAACGTCCGGTTCGAGAAGGCGAGACGAGCCGGAGTTCAGCCTGAGAGAGTGGGCAGTGAAGGCCCGAATCAGCCGCGAAAACCCGAATTCCAGAAGGTTTTCAGCTTCCTATATTCCAAGCTTCAGAGAGGACACAAGGTCTTTCAGATCAAACATTACAATCTCCAGCACTGCTTCTTCCCCTGGCTATAACTTAAGAGGTACCCTTCTCTCTACTTCCCTCAAAACCCAAGTTCAAATCCACCATTTCTCATCAGTTCCTCCACTTTTTTCGCAGATGAAATCGACCCGGCAACGTACTCATTCACCACAGCCCTCAAAGGTACGAAATCATGATCGTGAAAACATGTTAATTCAATATTCAAATTATAACATATTGTTTCAGAAATTCTTGTGCATGACGTTTGGTCTTTAGTAATTGTTCTTTAATAAAAAAAAAAAGGGACATCTATTCCATAACCAGACTAATAAACAATGTTGAAATTCTCATGTGCAGAACGTCACATCTTTACTATTGCCTTCTTTATTAAAAAACAGACGTCTGTTCCATAGCCGGACTAATATATAGTGTTTTGTATTGTTCTTGCAGCATTGCAGGCAAGGTCAGCTTATCATAGTTGGGAAACGTTATCACCAGAAGGGTTTGTTTTGAATTCAAAGTGGAATGAAGCAGAGAAATACATATGCAACCCTCTATCAGGGCAGGTTCCGATGGAGTGTTTATCTGCAAAAACACTTAGCGGAAGATCGTTTCGCAACGCAACGAATCGATTCACAATGTCTGCACCTCTTGTTTACTCTTCTCACACGAGACCAATCCATACAACCAACACTGCCAAGCCTTCTTCTAATCCTACAAAAGAAGATTTGGCTCCTCAATTTCCAGTTCCAGGTTAGCCCACTTCATCTTGCTTCTTATTAATCATGCTTCACTCGCAAGCGAATGGTTTTCCGTGTTGAGTGCACACCATTTCTTCTCCTTCAACTTTGTTTATTTCTGCTATTTGATTCTTTTTTAACTTATTCTGTCTAAAGGCCAGAAATAAACATGAGTGTAAAAAATTACTAAAGTTCGCGTCATATGAAATAAAATTTTCAATCAAAATCTGGTTTTCAATGCAGCAAAGAAAACAGAGGGCATGACTCGAGATGTTGGGACTCAAAGCACTCCTCCTGATTGGGGTTCAAGTAGTAGTCCTAGCTCTACTTCAACCCCTCCGATCGTAGAGAGATCGTTAAACCGATTTCGAGGAGGAGATTCGTCTAAAACAAGTGCAAAATTAAAATCTGACGACGAGGTATGTTCTTGCTCATATTTAAGGGTAATTGTAATGAAATATGCACAAATAAAACCGATTTGTGTAACTGTGTTAAGATAAGATAGGAAGAACATTATCTATATAACACGACACTAAATCGAATTTTATATACAATTTATTATCAGTTTAGTAACTTTTTCTCGTGTTTTTAATTAGCGATGTGTTTAGGATGATAGGACAACTCAATGAAGGCTGCATTTTGTGGTTGGTGTCATAAAATTGAAGTATTCCCTTCAAGGAGGGGACTAGCAGATTGAATTGGTCCCTCTTTGGTTTCGTGGGACATGCCTAGCTTAGTTCTGTTTCCTCGATATTTTCCCCCAAGTGGCCCTGCTTTCCAACGGAAAGGGATCCTCTCCGTCCCTTCCACCAAATCCACCAAGTTCACAAATTCGGGTCTTTTAAATTTAATTCAACGGTTACAAATAGGAGCTCACTTTAAAAGTTATAATAACTTTAACCGTTGTATCAAATTTCAAATGCCCGAATTTATGGCCTTCGTGGACTTGGTAGAAGGGCTCTGGAGAGGATCTATTTCCCCTTCCAGCACATAAACTCTCCTCAGAATATCATTTTGCCTCCAATAAAATGAAAATGTTGGGTAGGGTAAGCTGTCATGAAGTGTCTGGACCGTGTGGATTAAGAGTTGTATTTATAAACGGTCCAATAGTACTCAAATACAGTTGGACTCGTTTTGTTTTAATAATGTCTGATCATTTATTTGGCCAAGATGTTCTTAGTTTTCCACTTACATTAAATGGGAATATTTAAGCTATTCACGCACTATTATCATATAAGGTAGTACATAATTGATTAGTAATATGATACTGAGTTATCTCTATTGTAATAAGGTTCTATCGTGTCATAGAATAAGTTTCCAAACAATTTGCATGTCCACAATTGTGTTCTTTTTCGACCACGTTCTTTTTGTTTTTGTGTGGCACCCTTAAGATTCTTCAATGCAAATGTTAAAAAGGATTCTTCACTTTTTCTCCTCCCTTTAATCCTTGGGGTTCTCAGTGAAAGTGCCCCATCACTGGTATATTGGTTCATCTTTTTGGAAAAGATAGCCATGTGTTTCAGGGTTTGTTACTTGATGATTTTACTGTTTAAGTACACATTTGTTGCATCTTTGGACTAGGTGAGTCATGTCCTTTCAAACTTTTTGCTAGGGTTTGTGATCGTCAAATTGTACATGCTATGATGGAGATTATCGTTTCATGGTGTTTGGGACATGTGACCTAACATGGTACTTGGTTGCAGAAAGTGGCACTAGTCTCTAGCTATAGTGATCCAATGTCACACTTCATTTCAAAATGATGGTCTCCATCTAGCCCAAGCGCGTATATGCTTGCATATAATCATGATATATTATGGTATTTCTATATCAACTATCACGTAAGGTAAGTGGTTAGGAGATAGATAACTAAAGATCTTTCGATACACGTACATTTTTCTTCTAAAATGAACTTAGTTTTGCACCTATTAAAATTTAGGCCAAACACACATTAGGACCGACTCTTTATTTTATAGACGAGAAAAACTAGTTAGGTTAGTGTTTCTTTTTTCATATACCTGAAGGCTCTTACTTTATTTTATTTTACTTTCCTTATCAAATTACCAAACTTTTATAAGATGCAACTGAAAAACAAAAAACAAAAAAATTTGCAGGTGGAAGTGAAAGATACAAAAGAAACAGAAAGCGAAAAGGAAGAGCAGAAGTGCAGGCAAGGTGGGTGCTTGTCATGGATGAGAAAAAGGTATAGAGAGAAACACAAACCAAAAAACAAGAAGAATATCTTCCTTTCTCATCTGAATCTCAAAGCGTCCTGAGAAAATTAAAATATTATTAAGAGCTGAAATTATTAATATTGTAAAAAAAGAAAAGAGAGAAGTGAATATTAGTAGGGTAAACGCAGAGATTTTCTGTGTCTTTTGAGAAATCTTTCGCAAGAGGAAGAACAAAGAACAATCAATCAATGTATTATTATGTTTATGTTTTATTAGTATTTTGGGTCAGTGATGATGTTAATGTTTTTGTTCTTGTTGTGTTCAAATTGGCTGACAGCTTTGGGCTTCACGTGCATGTTTTTTGTTTGTGTGCTTTGGAAAATGGTAGCTTGAGGAGCAACTATAAGATATCTAGGATTCAAAATATGAATATCTCAATCTTGGGAAACTAAATGACCAATCGTTTTTCTAGTGCGGTTAACTGCAATCAAGTTTATTAACGACATAACATCAATCAGTATCAATTATATAGCAGCAGCTCTATGTTACAGTATCAATTATAGTGATAATGAATCGCGACATTCATATTTTGTAAGTAGTTAAGTTAACCACATTGAAGAAAAACCGTTTACAGTTACGTGGTGGGGGATAAAATTAATATAACTTTTCATCATCATTGGTCATCTAATCTTGTGTCAATTGGTATGGCACAATATTTTTAAAATAACGAGACTTGTACTGATTTTACGTAATATAATACTGGAAAATCTTGAAAATTCTAGAACTATCTTATTATGATGTATATCAAGTTTACGACCTGTCACATGCGAGTTCATCCTGCATGTGGAGAGTCGGACCAATAGGAGAAGAGAGGCAAACATACAGGAGTCGCCCCGCCCTACATATGCAAACAAATAAAGAAGTGGAGAACAGGAATCAAACTCAGGCCCACTTTCAAAAGAGCCTCGGTAACCATGTTAGACGACCACTAGTCCCACAAACTTAAGCTGTTAGAAAGCGGGCAAACGAATGAAGAAGACTCAGAATATCCAAAAGGAAAAAACATATGGCTTGAAGAAGTGGAAGATCTAAAGCTTCAAGAAATTGAATTTGAAGCTTGCAGATGAGTAACAATGACTTCAATTTTTGCTCATCTTTCTGATTCTTCAAAATTCTGTGTCATACAATAAAGCTTTTGCTAACTGAATATAAACAAAAGTTTTACAAGTAACAAAAGCTGTGTAATATGAAACTACACTACATAGCAGTATTTGATCAAACTATAATACATTTGTTTACAACGGTGATGCAGACGGTTTAGCGTTGGAGTTGGAAATAAGTCGGACTTCGTATAGATTATTTTCTCCCTTGCCTGCACCACGAAGTAAGCATTATTCATTGTTGAACCCCAGCTTTCTAATTTTACAAGTTCGAAAACTTTCACTAAAATTGAAGCATTTATAAATAAAACTCACCAACTTCAGCTGTGATTCCTGGTCCGAAGAATGAAGCAAACTTGGCCTAGAAATGTCAGAATTTGATCAATCAGTATGCAGTATCTTTTTCTCAAAATGCAAGGTCAAATAATTTCTTATGCCGGGAAGCACAAGCAAACTTGTAAACATGGTCTTCAAGAGAGTAAATCTAAACATAGATAAATGCGACTATTAACAAGTGAAGCAGGACTAGTAGACTCATAATTCTTTACCTGTCGTTGTTCAAAATCTGATAACTGCAAAGCTTTTGCCTCAAACACCAGGACTAATGAGTATCTACCATCTCCGGTGACCTATGAATATATGATCAAAATTTGTGATAGTATTAGTGATTGGGGATCAATGGTCGGTCACACTTTGATACAAAGTAACCAAAAGCCTCACCGCAGTTTTAAGGGATTAAAACCTTAAGGATATTGCAAGATTCTTTAAAAAACAATTCAGAATCATATCATGTCACCAGTCTGCTCTTGTACGTGATATTTTAGGAAAGAATAAAATTCTACTTTCATAGAAATTCAGTTTTACTTAATGGAAGGTAATAAAAAAGAGATTGCAAATGGTCACAGAAGTTGCTGTTTGCTGACACTTTTCGACACGAAAAAAGTTTTATTTAGGGAAGGTAATCAAAAGTTTATGGCTTGCCAAGTGCAGGTGAGAAGTATACCTCTTCACGAATACTTTGGAGAGTAGGTGCACTCCTCCGAGCAATTCCTCCACCCTGAAAGGAAAACCAGGTAAATGAGAAGATGTTAAGCACAAAACAATGCTTGAAGCGTATATTCCTAATAACAAGGCCCTTAGTGTAACTGTGTACTGAGCATAAGATTATCTACATCCAAAATTCTTTTAAAGGGTAAGTGTTGTGATGATAAGTTGCTTCCAAGAAGGATACGGAAGGCCAATCATTTCTTTCACTCTCGCAGAATATTCTGAAACAACTGAATAGATGTAATAGAGTTTCGTATTTACACGCAAAGCGGCCAACGCACCTGACCATACTGGAAGATTCGTTTCAATGCCTCATCCAAATGCTGTTCATCTCCATAGCGATACCTTGTAACATCATTCCTGACCTAATTCCATATATCGTATCATTCAGGTAAAACAACAAAAAAAAAACACGGATTGCATGCATCAAATGTTCATAGAAACGATCAACTCTATCCATTTCGGACGGGTTGATAATATTCCCCAACATCCTGTTCTGTATTTTAAAGAAACTGATTCTCAAGCACACATTTTTACAATAAGATCCTTTTTCGATTACCTCGCCTACGTTCAATATTGTTATGATGAAGCACAAGAAGAAACTAAAAAAGTCATGCCTAAAACCGCAATCATCTCAATACATTACAATACCATTTGTTGTCGAAAGTTTTTGAGGGTTGCTGCAATAAATTTGCCACACCACACATAAACCATTACAACATCTATCTTCTTAAATTACCACACCTTTATGTAAAGAATGAGCCAATTCAAAGTAATTACCTGTGTAAGGATCGGCGTGGCACTTGTTTCCCTTAATTGCAGGGCGTCCGAATAAGTCAAGCATGGCACCGGCTTTAGTTCAGCATACTGATATAACAGAGAAACCGAAATAACTATTTTGCAAATTGAAACACAAAATATTTCACGTCAAGAAATAAACAAAGCCGAAGTTTGTCTAAATAGAAGAGCAAGGAACTAGGAGCAAATTTGTTTGACAATCTAAACCAATGACCTGGACAGAAAGTGCATGAAACCAAATCAACAACTACTAATCCGCATGATCACCGGGCAACATTCGAAACTGGCAATACCCTGCATTATAAATTTTAGACAAGATATTGGCTTTGGTATGAAATTAGTTTTACCTTGAATGCCATACCAATGATTGCAAGAGGGAAGCCATATGTGAGCATCAATGCTGACCATTCAGACCCGGGAAGGATATTAAAGTACGCCCCGAAACCATACCTGTTCGAAATTCGTCACAAATACATAAATTAATCACGAAAAAAAAAAAATATGTAAGGATCAAAATTTGCTTCAAAAATTTACAAACTTGATGCTGCGATAAAGTACTCACGACAAGAGTGAAACCCCAACACCAAGACCAATAACCCCAAATGAAACCTGCAAACATCACACAAGGAAAACTACATGGTACAATCATAGAAGTCTGTATACATATTCATATCTATATTAACAGTATATAATATATTAGAATCTCGAATATTTTCTGAAAACAGGCGCAAGATAAAATCGGTTACGAACTTTAATAAAAAGTACATTCACTAAACAGACAGTAAAGTGTCACTGCACCGTTTTATATACGGCTCATTCTATGTTAAATACCCCACTAATTCTATTTGTTGTTTTCAAAATTTGTAATCGGTTGTGTTTAAAAAAAAAAATGTAATCCATTTTATTTGTGCATGTTTAATTGGTTCCAATGTTCATCGGTTTTTAAAAAGAGTAAAGCAGCAGATGGTACCTTAGCGAGGGAGAACTGGTCGTCGGGAACGATGGTTTTGCCGGCGGTGGAGGTGGAGGGGAGGGTGGAAGGCTGGGTAGAGGAGTCGGCGGCTCTCGGGATGGCCAATTTGGGCTTGGACTTCGAGAGTTGGTTGGCTCTGAATCCAATGGGATCCAAGTGGATGAGGAAGCTGGTGATGGGCCTGGATGATGATGAGGCCGTGTTATGGTCACGCAGAGAGAGAAAGTGGTGGGGGTTGACGTCATGGTAGCGGCAGAAGCTGCTGCTTCCTCTTGCAATTGCAGTTGGAGTTGATAGTGCTTGCGTTGCCATCGGGTTCTCTCTCTCTCTCTCTCCTTCCTCAAAGATTCAGACCTCGAGAGAGATCAGCAGTTTTGCTGGTTACTCCCAGCCGCCAAATTTCTGATTACGTGTCCTCATGTCATCCATTTTCTTTTGCTTTTTCAGATAACTTGTAAAAATACTTTTAAGCTCATTTGACTACAAACTTAAATATACTTTTGAATAGGAAAGCAATTTTGAAGAATTATTTTCTTAAGAAGAATGTGTGACGTGCATTTTTAAGAGGCACTTTTAATTTATATTTTATATTAAATTTTAAATAAAAGTGCATGTTCGCAGTAAGTCACGCCGTTGATTTCCGGAATATTATCATCGTTTAAAGTTTACAGTATTTTCTAAATAAAATATATGAACTTAAATATTTAATACGGCAAAATAGTCATGCGCAAATAAAAAAAACACCTCAAGGCCTGACCAAGAATTCGAGATAGATCAAGAGACATGAAACTCATTTGTCCAAAAGCTGGTTTGAAATAACTTTGACAAAGCTCATCCCGTGACTTACATTGCCCATTACAAAATAATTATAATCCAACTATTCGGTACTGAGTACTACGGTACAATGGTACATTTTTATTGTAAATAAAGTCTTATGTTCAAATTTTATGAATAACGAGTTCAGTACTTATTCATTCCCTCACCTTTTTGATTTAGATATATCGTTGTATAAAAAATTAACTATTCAAAATTTCATAACCCCATGCTGAGCCAGCTCGCCGATTTTTCAAGATACTTTAAATCAGCGATGTCGTAAAGAGCAAAATCCACGATGATATGGTTTTGTAATTGATAAAATGACAAGTATGATGAAAAGCCACGATGATATGGTTTTGTAAATACTCATCGAAATTTTTTTAGTTAAAAAATAGGGTAATTCTCACTTTACTATTCTCTGGTATTGTGAAATTTATAATTTGTTACCCTTAATTTTTTTCGTCTCACTCTCATACCTAAAGTTACGATTTTTTTCTCAAAAACATAATTTCATTAGTCTAGCCGTTAAACAATGACATTGCAGGCTTTGGGCTCCACAAAAAAATTTAAAGTCATACAAAAAGTTTGGGCAACAAATTAAAATCATAAGTTAAAAAAAAGTATAAAAAAACTACAAAATTGAAAAATATTTGCCTATACATATCTTCTATCACTACAATCCAACTCTCCTCCTCCTCCCCCTCCTCCTCTATCTCATGATTCTCATATGAGAAATGGCCGCAACATCTGTCCTCAACGCTCAAGTCGTCTCACCACCTAACTCTGTGGGCATGGTCAGCCCCACATGCACCCACCGACCAAAGCCGATTCTGGACCGATTACAACAAGTTGTTGTCACTCTGATGCTCGAATTTCACCGCCAAACCAAATTCTCATTTCTAGTATCTTCAAGCTAAACGAAAATGTTTTCGACAACACGACGAATATGAACCACACAAACATGTTTGACAGGCAGATGGACTCGGGTAAGAGTAGTACCCACCGGGAAAAAGGATGAAGGGGTTGCGTTGGTGTAGATTTCGAGTGGGTCGGGTTAGTGTGGGTGGGGGAGAGTTCGGTGGTGGTGGGGATGATGTGTAAGAGGCTGCACTATGTGAGTGGAAGAGTGTTATTTTTTTTTCTTTTGTATGTTTTAGTAATAATGATTGTTTTTTTCAATTTTTTAGTTAATTTAAATTTTTTTGTATGGTCAACCTGACATGTCATCATTTAATATATGACTTAACGGCTAGACTAACAGAAGTATAATTTGGAAGTAAATTATAGCTTTAAGTGTAGAATTGAGACAAATAAAACTAAGAGTAGCAAAGTGCGAAATGCATGATACTTAAGGGTAGTAAAGTAAGAAGCACTCTAAAAGTAATAACTATTTCACCAATTCACATCAAAGACAGAAAAGAAAAGAAATCTTCAATTCTTAGCAGGGTAAAATTCATCGATCTCAAATCATCATTCAAATTTAGTTTATTGGTTCAACTAGTTTATTAGTACAACGGATTTGTGGCTCAAATGATTACGAGCTTTGATCCTTCAATTTGAAGTCTATAATAGATACAATATTCTCTCAACACAATTGTATAAGAAAGCGGTAATAATCTGCCAATAACTTACACAAGCGAAATATATTATATATATGCACTTCAATTTGGTGAAAATTCTCTCAAATACATGATAACCACAATATTCATTCGGATACACGAATAAATTTTCAAGAGATAATCTAATAATTAAATTTTACATGAATTTATCATTACATTTCAAGGTGGTATTTTTTTATAACAAGATTACTATTACATTGGGAAATCACCCTAATTTAAAACCCGGTTGAAAATTTTCATCTTCATAAAAGACATAAGGAATCACAAAGAGAGACATAAATATCTCCAAGGAGAACTTTTGAGAAAGTCATAAAAGACAAGATAATTTTGACAACTGAAAATAAGAGGCGTTTGCTTGTTTGAAAGTGAGAGGCATTTGCTAGCATGAAAGTGAGAGGCATTTGCTAGTACGAAGGGGAGAGGTGAAGACGCAAATAAAAGGGTTGCAGGGGGTTCTCTTCTTTTAAAAGAAAAAGAGTGAGGGAACTACAAAAGAGAAGCAGAAATATTGATGAAGAGGAATTTTTCTAAATAAAAAACCAGAAAAGATAGACATATATGAGACTTGAAGATAAAAGGTGTTTGTTGATATGAAAGTGAGAGGTGAAGACACAAATAAATATACAGGGGTCGCTTAAGGTTTGACTTGATTAAGATGAAATAAAAACAAATAAAAAGCTGTTTTACGTTGGTTTGCATTTCCCTTGTTATTATTGGGACATGTGATATCATGATTTCCTCTTCTTGAATTCAAGCAAAACAAGAAAGAAGAACATTAGAGAAGTTTCTTATTTTCCGGAAGAAAAAAAAAAAAAAAAAAGTGGGGGGGGAGAAATTGCAAAAGAGAATCAGAAATATCAATGGAGAGAATTTTGAAAAAAAAACGTAAGATCAGATAGATCTGAGGGATAGAAATGGGAGGCATTTGTTGGTATGAAAGTGAGAGGGGTTGTCTAGGGTTTGAAGGGTATATCCTAACATGATTAGGATGAAATAAAAACAAATAAGGGAAGGTTTTACTTTTCTTTGCATTTCCCCTGTTATTCTTGGCATGTCCACCATTTGTTTCCATCTTCGCATTAGAGATTTGGCCTCCAACGGCCAGAGCACCATGTTCCTGGACAATCGGATTGTTCTCAGCAGCCGAGCTCTCCACCTCCATCTTCTCAACTGTGGCCGCGATAGAGCTTGAAGCTATGACCATTTTCTTCAGAATCTACTCACGAGTACCAAACAACTCTCTCTAATCCTCAATTCACACTCTCAAATTCGAACATCGGGGAGATTGCATAGTTAACAGATGATAAGCATGTGGGACACTAGAGAGCAGCTGCTATTTATACTGTCCCAGTTCTCTTCCCTCTTTGACATTTGGCGGGAGAATTTGGTCGACAGTCAAACTTTTGGGATTTGGTTTAGGATTTGTTAATATGTTTTCTTTTCTTTTCTGGTTGCAAAATATCAGGAGTTATAACCATCTTTCCTATTTAATTTATATTCTTCAGATTTGTTTCCATGAAAGCCTAAAAGCATAGATATTCTTCAGATTTGTTTCCAGAAAACCCTAAAAGCATAGATTTTCTTCAGATTTATTTCCGTAAAAGCCTAAAAGCATAGATATTTTTCAAATTTCTTTCCATAAAAGTCAAAAAGCATAAATATTCTTCAGATTTCTTTCTATAAAAGCCAGATTTCTTTCTATAAAAGCCTAAAAACGTAGATATTCTTCAAATTTCTTTCTGTAAAAGCCTAAAAGCATTGACTTTCTTTAGTCTGTTAGAACAACCCTCAGAAAATTAGGGTTGAAGGCAACCGTACATACATAGCATGTGTAATGATAATTATTTTGAAAATCTTCGAAATCCTTATTTATTTTCTCAAATTCATTTCTAATTCGTGAAATGCTAATTGTTTTGAAAATTCAGAATATTATGATCTTGTTCTCACTCATTCAATTTTTGTTATTTTATAGAGAAGTAACTATTTCACTAATTCACATTAAGACCAAAAATAACAAAAATAAAACATATCCCAAACTTTAACAAGGTCAATCAATCTAAAATCATCATCCGAACAAAAACTATACATCCTAATTTTCAAAATTTAATAAGCAAACAATTGAAATGATATCCATTAATACCAAAAGTGTGGCTTAACTTGTTAAGAACATTCATTCATGAATAAGATCGAGGTGCTATAATCGATTCTTCACTCTCTCAACACGCTTGTAAAAGAAAACAACAAAAAATCTACTAATAATATATGTTAAGAAAATATGTCCACTTCAACTCAACGGAGAAATTTCTCTCAATTACTCACCCAAGAAATTCATTTAGATGCGCTAAAAATCATCAAAAGAATTAATCTAGTCCAATTTTCATTACAAGATCACAATCAAATTTGAAAAAAAATACCGAAGTAATATTTATGAGAGTACCATCCAAAATAAAGTGGAGACAAAATAGAAAAATGCTACAGAAGTTACATACCTTCATATTAGAGTGAGGGTTGCTTTTACTTTGCTTTCCGTTTCCCTTTTCAATCTTGTTAGGCCAATTCATTATCACGGCCCGACTTTGGATTTCTCAAGTTAGGCTAACCCAATATATAATGAGCACAACTGATCCCTTGATCTCGAGCTTGACGTGGACTTGGAGATTGGATTAGATCATGCTATACAAAAATACAAATCCTTGTTTTGTTAGTGGGCTATACGATGGTATGTTGCACACTTGTAATGTCACTTGAGTAATTTTGATGGTGTACAAGGACCTTAACAACAATCAAATCAAGTTTCATGCACTTTCAATATAACTATTAGAAAATGACATAAATGCCCATCATTTATATATGGCATGTGAGTACTCTATCTACTCATTGATCCGTCTAAACATTGACAACAAGCTGGTGGTCTAGTAATAAAATACAAATTACTGACTTCTTTAAAATTAAAAATTGGAGGTTTTAGGTTCGAAACCCATTGTTGGTGTGAAAGCTAAACTTGTGGCTAGAGAAGGCTAAAATGTCTATGTGAGTCTTCTAGATCTCCGAAATAGTTGGATAATAGTGACTTGCCACCGGTTGTCCCCTTTTCTTCTAAAAAAAATAAGTAATTAAACTCGAAAAATGATAAGGACAATACTTTGATGCTCATTAGGGACGGAAATGGATTGTCTCCAGATCCCTTCACCAAATCCACCAATCCGGACCCTTGAAATTTGATCAAACAGCTAAAGTTAATATAACTTTTAAAGAGGACCCCTGTTTTTAGTCGTTTGATCAAATTTCAAGGGTCCAAATTGGTGGATTTGGTGGAAGAGATGATCCCTTTCCATTGGGAACTTCCCAATTTACTGACAATCTTACATGGCCCACTACAATTAACACACATGTCAAATGAATTTCAACCCAAAACTCTTACTATCTTCATAACCAAACACCATCCATCTTCTTCCTCCCTTCTTGCCTATGTGCAGACAAACCGTCCCTTCTTCTCCAGTGATTCCGCCATTCACTTCACGGTGATAACACCCAGAAATTAAAAATAGTTTTGAATTCATATATGAACTTTTGAGACCTGATTATTTTAGGCATGAAACATAACTAATATAGTTTGTAATCTTATTTTTTCAATTTTTTTTACCATTAACCTCTCTTCTCCTTTGAGCCCACCCTCAAATCCCTCACTTTTCCAATGAGCCCACCCTAATCCCTCTCTTCTCAGGCGAGCCCACCCCCAAACCTCTCTTCATCTGCGAGCTCGCCCCAATCCCTAATTTCCCCGGCAACCCCAACTCCACCTATCTCTCCTCCAGCAACCTCAACTACCCCAACCCCTTTGTTCGCCGACATCCACCGTCAACCCTCTCCTTGACGGTGACACCACCTAGTCTTCTTCGACAGCCATCCCACTCTAATCCTTTTTTGATGGGGTTAGCGTTGGGGTGTACAGGGAAGAAAATGCTTGAGAGCGAGGAAGAAGATAGGTGTTTGGTTACAAGGATAACAAATGTTTGGTGGAGTTTTAGATAAGACAGGCAGGCTATTTTCATTAGGCCACATCATAAATATAATTACAGAAAAGTAAGTAAAGTTAATGCCCAAGAAACTAAAGTTGGGTTTTTGACTAAATAGTTGCATTTTCGGAAATGCAAATATCAAGATAGAACTTCTCTCCCTTGTCAGTGAGAGTCTTCCTCTCCCACTGAGAGATTTTCTCACTGTTTGTGTGAGTTTGCCCCCTTTTGTCTTCCGAATTTCAGTTCTGCTGCCAACCCTAGCTCCAGCTCGGGTCGATGGTAGCCTTTTCTTTCCTTTTGTTTTCCCCTTCCTTTCCTTCTACTACTGTTTTTCCCATTGTTCTCCTTTCTGATCTTCTTGATCTTTCCACCTCACAAGCCATCGAACCTATTTTTTATCCTCATATCAATTGTTTTATCCCCTATGCTACCTATATATTCACACCCCTCATCCATCATCAATCTATGTTTTCTTCCGATTCTTCCTTTTTGACTTTATTCCATACTTCATCAATTTCTCCCCAAATCCATTTCGCAATCACTTTTGACCACATTTTGTTGTGGTTCATTGGGAAGGTGTGTAGAGTTTCGGTGTTCACACCGGCTTAGGTGTTCGCACCACCTCCTTCCCTCGGTCTGCCTTTGGTGGCAGTGTTGGCTTCTTTGATTTCTTCTTCTTGGTGGCTGCAATCGGAGAAGGACTGGTTGCTGGATGATGGAGTCTTATTTCCTACCTTCTTTGAGGCGCTGTTAGGTTCGAATTCTGGCGTTCGTCAGGTAGATGGGTCAAGCTGATCAAGAGGAGCTGCGGTGGCGTTAGTAGTAGAAGGAATAGGGTTTCTTTCAATTTGTGTGTGTATTTGGGCCTATCACTTGGTTGGGCGTTTGTTGCTTTGTTTGGAAGGTTCCATTTTGCTTTGTGTACATGTATTGAGCCTTAGTTGTAAATTTGTTCCGTTAGTAACAAAAGTTTCACCATGATCCCAAAAAAAATATCAAGATAGAAGAAGAGAAGAGACATGAAAATTCCAAAAGATGTTAAGAAATAACTATGACATAACTCATCTTAAAATTTACATTCCCCGTTCCAACATAATTATTCAGGAGGATCCTCTTCGGATTTTCTTTATAAGATCTGGAGATCCTTAAATTGTGTCCGTTCATTGTACATCGTACGGTCAGTTTTCGTCAGATACTATTTATATTTAATTTTAAATAAAAGTTTTTAAAATTATTTATGACCACACGATGTACGATGAACAGATACGATTTGAGAATTTCCAAAATTCTCACAAAAAAGATCCGGAGAGGATCCTCATTCAATAATTATGATCGACTTTCCTATGTAGGAGTTAATACAGAAATATGGCAGCCGGACACATGTAACTTGTGTAGTTGTATGTATCCATATTTTCTTGTGCATGTATACCCCCTCCTATGTATTACGAGAAAAATGGCTTTCATGTCTTCTAGGCTAAAAAATTTAATTCGCCGGAGGACCGAGCTCCATGTTCTCTTCATTGCATTCTGAAGCTCGGGATGCCTGCACGCTTTCGCCATTGCTATCAGGAGTCTGGGAACCCTGCGCGTTTTCTTCATTGCTTTCCGAAGAAGTTTGGGAAAGCTGCAATTTTTCATCATTGCTTGAAGAAATTCTGTAACGCCTCTGCTCCCTCTTGGCCTGTTTTTCCCTGCAAGACAAGGAAACAGTTAATGCATCAACAACCAGTTCATAAAAAATGGGTTGGGGTGGGGGAGAAAACAGTGCGATGTCAGAACGATATTAACAATGTAAAACAAGTATGTGTGCATACTTTAGAGCCAGAGAAGAGCGGTATTTGTCAATTGGCTCTTTCATTTCAGCACCGCAGACGAACCATTGTTCACCAGATGGAGTTCCATCCCAGGATCCCAGATCTGTAAAGTAGTCGAAAATAAAATTATTACCTCGAAATAACTCAAAAACTGGAAATCAGCACATTGTATTTGGAACAGTAAAAACTAACCTTGAAGCAATATATCTTCATCTAAATGGCCTCTCAGTTTCCAGAAGGCATGGCCATCAGCATCCACAATGTAGGGCTCTATTCTAACAGCCTCACATATTTCAATGCCTGTAAAATACGTCCACAATTTTAGCGCAAGCATATGCAAACAGATTTTCGTGAAGGACCAAAACATGAAAAGCATTTCAACCATCTGGAAAAGCATCTCAAGTGTTCTTAAGTTTTAACATCAATTCTAGAAAGAAAAAAGGTAACTGAAAGGCTGAAGATATTAGAAATGGGAACTTACTTTCGGGTACCATGGCCATTGCTTCGACCACCTCCATGTGAGCTTGAGCTAACTCACTTCTGAGTACTGAAGCAATGGAGTCCGACTCTGAAATCAGGATGCTCGACTCTGAAATCGGGACAGCATCGCTATTCTCTGCAGTGGTCCTCTTAGCCATCTGCTCTTGCAACTTTGCTTGGAGATCTCTCTCCTGCACATATATGATTTAGTTAAAAACAGAACTCTATGTTGGCTCCATAAGATGCTTGCCTCAAAAAAGCTTGACTTGTTTTCATATTACCTTATCCTTTGCTAGACCAACTTTTGCTTTCGTGTCCCTTTTATGTTGGACAGATCTTTCATTTTGCTCCTCAATCCATCCCCTCAGCGTCCTGGAGGAAAGGTTGAAAATTTATCATCACTTGTAACGCAGAAAACAAGACAAATACAAAATTATAATTTACATATTATGTATCTTCTACTTACTTTGTGTTAAGAGCCTCATCACAAAGGAAAATCAGAAGCCTAAGCTTTTGGGAGAAGTTTAAGGCATCGTATCCCTCACCGCCTTCAATAAAACACTCTGTCGGCAGCTCCTTCATCACAGGGTCAACCTTAGAGACCCCGGATGCAGACACCAGGTTCGCCAAATCTTGGAACCATGAGGAGCTGTTGCTTGCTTGCTCAAGAGACCTGACAGAAAATGGAGATGTAAGAAACCACATGAATTATTTCAACCTAAAGTTTACCAAAAGTACTTTATGCATAACTATAATATACTAGGTAGAGTTCTTACTCCTGTAATAAACCCTTCTGTATGAAGAAGAGCATATAGCTATGAAATCGAACTATGGAGGAGTACTGTCCAGGCCGTCCACTTCGCCCACTTCCTCCACGCGATAGTTCCCGAAGAACAGACTCAGCTTGGGACTTTTGAATCTTAAAAAACTAGAGTAAAAAGAATAAAGGAATGAGATTTCAAGTGTCAAAATCAATATAAACAAGTTTAGAGCATCTTTCAATCGACTATCTAATAGAAGTATAGAACAGAAGTTAGAATTACCTCTCTAAAAGTTTCACAAAATTTCAAGAATTGGAGAGCATTTCCCACATCCTCTGCAGCTAAGTCGACACCTGCTACAGTTGTCAATGGGGTGCCCTGAGGTAGGGGAACCTCGGGAACAACCACTCTGCTCTCCATGCAACGTTCCTTGACCCTGTGATGCCCTCTTGCAGCCTTGCCCTTGGCCTTCGCATCATTGTCATTCACAGCAGCACCACCATCTCTGCTGTCATCACAAGTTTCTATAAACTCGTCCTCTTTTGCTGCATCCGAGTTCACATCTTCGCTCTGATCAAGGGCGTCCTCCTTCCCTCGTTTGCTAGGTGAATCAACACCCGTTGCCTGCCAAAACTTGAGAGCATAAGCCACTTAACCAGTAATAGACCAACCAAAACAACACCAACAACATCAATATGCATTAACCATTAAACTGTCATTAGTAACAGCACCAAACCTTGTCTGGAGCCATACACTCCTGCCCGTTACCACCCTTGCTGTAGCCATTCTCCTTCTTTTGCGGCTTCTCCACAATCAACATATCAGCAACAGATTGATACCCTTTCCTCTTGGCTTCGTGTGTGCGAATACCAGTGGGCATTAAACCGGCTTTCTTACTGAGAAGACACGTTTCTCTAATTAGCAGCAGCACCAAAACGCAAACAACTACAAATACAAAGTTAACAGTTATATGGCATGCCAAACACTTACTGGCATATACTACAATTACATTCGCCTCGACATTTCGGACATTTCTCTGCCACTTGCTCAGCCGTCAATGTATACCTATTCTCAATCAACACCCACCACCAATTTTAGTCCAAAACTTAACTCGAAAAACCGAAAACCGAAAAAAGCGAGACTAAATTTCATCTAATCTAACCTGTTCTTCAGACAACTATGGCATAGCTTCACCGTGCAAGGGCCTTTCGCTTTGACGTTTGTACACGACGCCGCGAATTCCGTCTTCCTCTGACGGCACTGCGCAATTAAACCAACAAATCGACAATTAAATTAACCAAATTAATAAATCGACTCCAAATCTCATTTTCCGACGTTTCCCGTCCTCCAAACAGAATAAAGAAACAAGATAAAACGGCTACGAAAATCAACTTCCAACGTACATTCAAAAATTTTCTCATCAAACAAACAGAGCCCCTCAATCGGTACTAAGAAACCGAAAAGAAAACCACTCACCTGGTGACAGGTTCCGTTCTTAGAACCGGCGATCTGGCCTCCGACGGCCGGACCGTCATGGTCCTGCACAAACACGTTGCTCTCCGCAAGATAGTTGACCTCCACTTCCATCCTCTCAACAGCAGAGCTCGAATCTATTGCCATTTCTCTCCCAAAAAATGGATTCAAAAGTAAGCAATCACTCGCTCGAAGCCTCAAATCTATCCTCAAACTCAGACACCGGAAGATTTCAGCTCTGCCGCTTATGCAGCATACCGGAGAGCAGGATCGCTATTTATAGTGTCGAAATCTTCATCCGCCTTCGACACTTGGCGGGAGAAATTTGTCGCCAATCAAATTTTGGGGTCCGATTTGAGATTTGGGATTTACGAGGACCGTGAAAATAAAAGGGAATATGTTTCTTTCCTGTTCTGGCTGTGAAATATCAGGAGTCTTAACCTTATCGCCTATTTAATTTCTACGTCTCGGATTTCTTACCATAAAAGCCTAAAATGTTAGATATTATTTTCTTTTTTCGGCCAAATTTATTATATTTCTCTAGTTTGTTAATGTATCTCCTTTTTCATACATACATAGACATTTTTATAGTAAATAAGTTTTACAATATTTACCATAATAATGGTTTAAATCGTAATTAGTCGTTAATTTTAAATTACCAACTATTATCTTCGATTTTGTAACGTATCCATTACTCTTTAACACCTTTCTTTTATCTCCCGTCAAGTGTCGAAGACGGATGGAGATTACGACATTGTATAAATAGCGTCCCTACTGTCCGACATGCAAAAGAAGTGTCAGCTCTGAAATCTTCCTAGCGTCTTGTATTTTAGAGTATAAATTGAGGTTGAGAGAGAGAGAGAGAGAGAGAGAGAGAGAGATTCGTACTTGCCAATCAATTTTGGAGGAATATGGTGATTGCTTGGAGCTCTGCTACAGCTATCGTTGAGAGGATGGAAGTAAAGGTCAACTCTCTTGCGGAGAGCAACGTGTTTGTGCAAAAACACAATGATCCGGCCGTCAAAGGCAGGATTGCTGGTTCGAAGAACGAAACCTGTCACCACCTGAGTTTTAAGTGTGGTTAAAAATTTTACCTATAGGTTTTATTTTTAATATATTACATAAAACTATCATTAAAATTTGAAGGTACAATTTTCTAATCTACATTTATTTTTGGTAATTACTATTGGCACTTTAAAATTTTAATTGTGTACTCCTAGTAGGAATATTTTTTTTTATTCTAAATATAAAAGAATTGGAGTGCACCATTAAATTTTTGGAGTTTTAATAACATTTTTTTTTTGTTCCTTAAATTTTCTAAAAAATAAAGTAAAGAAAAAAATCTTCGAATTCTTTATGCATTTCCTCAAAATCATTCTATAATTGATGAATAATAACTATTGTGAAAAGCCACCTAATGTTTACTCATTAAAAATTTGTTACTTTTAAAACTATTTCACTAATTAAAATTGAAGACCAAAAAAAAAAAAAAAATCTGAATTCTTAACAGGGTAAAAATGTATGAATCTCAAATCATCATCCAAATAGAATCTAAACATCTTAATTGTTGTAATATATAATTTTAGTAAAGACAATATTCTATATTATTCTACACAAGAGGATGATGGCTTGAACACAGGATGCGGTAGATTGACAATCCACCAATTGCCCAAAAATGATATGCAGTAATGATTTAATTTAATCTAATTTTCAAATATATAATTACATAAAAAAATTAAAATAATAGGCAATTGATTTGTGATTTAAGTAGTTATGACCATTGATCTCTGAATGTGAAGTCTTAATTGATTTGCCACTCCCTCAACACTTGTATAAGAAAACGATAATAATCTACTAAGAACTTAAGCTAACAACTACACGCCCATAAAATTCATTTAGACGCGTTAACAATCATCAAGAGCTCTAATCTATTCCATTTTCATTACTAGATTACAATCGAACTTGAGAAAAAAATGCAAATTAATATAGTTATGGGAACATCGGCATACATGCAATTGAGATATAATAGAAAAATGCTAGAGAAGTTTCATACCTTCATATTAAAGCCAGGGAAATGCAAACGGAAGTAGATTTATTGATGAAAGTGTTTTCTGAAAAACACGAGACAAGATAAATCTAAGCAGCGGCGACCTTTGCTGGTATGAAAGTGAAGCGAAAACACATATAAATAGGAGGCGTCTAGGGTTTGGAGGGTATATTTGTAATTTGATTAAAAAGAAACAACACTGAATGATGGCCGCTTTTACTTTGCTATTCAATTTCCTTTTTATTCGTGGTAGGTGCACTGTCATGACACTATTTATCACGCCCCAACTTGAAAATATTATGATTTCTTAAGTTGGGCCGACCCATTATATAATGAACACAACTCATTCATTCTCGAGCTTCACCCAACCTTGTTTTGATAAATAGGCATATGGTGAAATCATGTTACTTAAGTCATTTTGATAGAGTGCAAGGGCCTTAACAACTGTAACATCCCAAATCGACCAACGAAGAGGGGGTGATGTGTCTTATATGTACATACCTACCTCTTATAGCACGAGGCCTTTCGGGGACTCACTGGCTACATATCCCATAAGAACTTCGTAGTTAAGCGAGTTTGGGCGAGAGCGGTCCTAGGATGAGTGACCCCCTAGGAAGTTCTCGTGCCGAAACCTAAAAACAAAACAATAAGGGCGTGGCCCAATGTGGACAATATCGTGCTACGGCGAAGTCAGTCTAGGATGTGACATAAAGGTATCAGAGCCACTCTGCCGTTCGGTGCGAGTATGCCGACGAGGACGTCGGGCCCCTAAAAGGGGTGGATTGTAACATCTCACATCGACCAACCGAAAGGAGGTGATGTGTCTTATATGTACATGCCCACCTCCTATAACACAAGGCATTTTGGGAGCTCACTGGCTTCGGGTTCCATCGGAACTCCGAAGTTAAGAAAGTTCAGTCGAGAGCGGTCTCAAGATGGATGACCCACTAAGAAATTCTCGTGTGAGTTCCTAGAAACAAAACCATGAGGGCTTGGTCAAGGCCCAAAGTGGACAATATCGTGATACGGCCGAGTCGAGACTGGGATGTGACAAAATGGTATCAGAGCCACTTTGCTGTTCGGTGCGGATGTGTCGGCGAGAACGCCGGGTTCCCCTTAAGTGAGATGGATTGGAAAATCCCACATTGACCAACGGAGAAGGGTTAATGTGCCTTATATGTACATGTTCCCCTTCCTATAGCACAAGGCCTTTTGGGAACTCACTGGTTTCGGATTCCATCAGAACTTCGAAGTTAAACGAGTTTGGGCGAGAGCAATCCTAGGATGGGTGACCCACTGGGAAGTTCTCGTATGAGTTCCCAGAAACAAAATTATGAGGGAATGGTAAGCCAAAAGCAGACAATATCATGCTACGGCGGAGTCGAGATTGGAATGTGACAAAATGGTATCAGAGCCACTCTGCCATTCGGTGCGAATGTGTCGACGAGGATGTCGGGCCCCTAAGGGGGGTGGATTGTAACATCCCACATCGACTAATGGAAATGGGGTGATGTGTCTTATATGTACATACCCACCTCCTATAGCACGAGGCATTTTGAAGACTTACTGGTTATGGATCCCATAAGAACTCTGTAGTTAAGCAAGTTTGGGCGAAAGTGGTCCTAGGATTGGTGACCACCTGGAAGTTCTCGTGCCGAAACCTAAAGACAAAACCATGAGGGCGTGGCCCAAAGCGGACAATATCGTGCTACGGCGGAGCCGATCTGGGATGTGATAGAATGTTATCAGAGCTGTGGATTGTAACATCATACATCAACCAACGGAGAGGGGGTGATATGTTTTATATGTACATACCCACCTCCTATAGCACGAGGCCTTTTAGGAACTCATTGGCTTCAGGTTCCATCGGAACCCTAAAGTTAAGCGAGTTCGAGCGAGAGCGGTCCCAAGATGGGTGACCTATTGGGAAGTTCTCGTGTGAGTTCCCAGAAACAAAACCGTGAGGGCGTAGCTAGGACCCAAAGCGAACAATATCGTGCTACAGCAGAGTCGAGACTGGAATGTGACGACAACTATCAAGTCAAATTTCTAGGACTATTTAATGAAATGATATTAAATATTACTTAAATGTCTGTTATTCATATATAACATGTGAACGATGAATGTCCTCGTTGAAATAAAAATTTCTTTGTGGATACGGTTTACCGTAATGATGGAAATCAATCATACTTATGCACTATAGTACACGGAAGTGACTTGGGGGACAAAAGGCTCCAAATTTGAAGGGACCACAAAAATTTTTGCCACCTAATATTTTTATGTAGTAATGCTATATTTAAAAAAAAATTATTTTCTTTCTAAATATGAAAATTTGGAGTACACAATGAGATATTTAGAGTGCCAATAATAACACTCTAAATTTGTACGGGTTCGATCCTCCCTGATCCTCCTTCCCCTAACAACTATCGTTCTACTGAAAAGACATAACTACAAAAACTAAACTATGTATATACAAAGTATGTCCTTGCAGTACTAAAAACATAGCGGTAGTGACCTTTTCTCACTCATCAAATCAACCCCAATCTAGAGTATATTAATTTAATGTATTCATATTCATGTCCTCTGTTTGGTTGCTGAGAAAATAACTGAATTTTCAAAGAAAATGTATCCTGATTTGTCTAGCAAGTTGCCCTTTCGAGTTTGATCAGTTTGGTTTATGAGAAAACGATTTAAACTACAAAGTCTCCTTCATTGTTGTTTTACTTGGATAATTTTGGTTTTAAGATTAAAGTCTTGCCTACATTTCTCCAAATGCACATGCACCCACGTGTTTTCAGCGCTAGCTTTTATATCATCATCCCTGTTTTCTTTATAAGATTTTTGTATGTAACCGTTGTGATTGTCATGTTCCTCGAGATAGAAAAAAGGGAATTTTAATGAAATATTTGTGGTATTGTTCACTTTTAACGTTAAGAATTTTTTATATTAAAAAGTCACTTCTAGTACTATTTATTTACAACACATTTTGTCATTGATAGTTTGCATTCAAGTTTCTCTTGTTTTTCCACATCCAACCGTTACGAGTGAGATAGATAAGCAATGGAAAATCACAACATACATCCCAAGTTTTTCTCGTTTTTTCCTTCAAGAATCAACTATAACAAAGAAGATAAAAAATTACAACATACACCCAGACTTTTCTCCTTTGTTTTCAAGAATCAACCATTACGAAAGAGATAGAGAAACGTGAAAATCACAACATACATCCAAGTTTTTATCATTTTTTAAGAATTGACCGTTACAAAAAAAATAGAGAAACGATGAAAATCACAACATACAGCCAAATTTTTATCATTTTTAAAATATCAACCTTTACAAAAGAGATAGAAAAACGATGAAAAATCACAATGTACATCCAAGTTTTTCTCTTTTCTTTGAAGAATCAACTGTTATGAATGCGAGAAACGTTAAAACACAACTTACACCCAAG